TGCTGCGTATTGGGACGGCCGGTAGTGGATGGCGCTTCTTTGCCAGGTAGCGGATGCGTCCGCGGGGTCTCACGGTTATTCTGGCAGCTTGGTCTTTGTCGTGGCAGCAAGGTGTGCGGGGGGCTGTGCTAAATTGATTCGTTGCGTGTGGCTGTGGTCTCTCATTGTTCGCGCCCATAGCGGAGGCTGTAAGTAGGGGAAGCAAGGTGGCGCAACTGCAGCAGCCCGCCCGCCCCGTCGCCGGATAATTGCGGGTGGCGATTGGTGTGGCGTTTGTGTCTCGGATGTTGTGTTCGGCGCAGGTGGGGAGCAATGGGGGAGCAATGTGAGAAGGCGCGCCGTCGGTCGTGTTCGGGGATATGTGACAAAGCAAGGCGCCGCGGGCGGGGATCCTCGGCGGCTTACTTTTTCAGGCGAGCGCTTTTCGCGCTGCATAGTGCGTGTCGCACTGACAGCTCTGCCGCTGGCGAGAGTGAAACGCGAAGACCCTCTTATTAGGCTAATCAGAGTAGATAATTTGATAATGAGTATGATGATAGAAGTATTAGAGTACTGGTGAAGGAGCGAATGAAGAAGCGCTTACTCACTGGCAGTTGTTTGCCGCTGGTATTTTTGCCATGAGATGAGCGGCGCTGTTTCGTGTTTTTTACAGGTTCTGAAAATTTGGAGGGAATTTTTAAACCCCATGTTAGTCAGGCTGCTTTGGATCTAATGCAACGGCGGAGAGTCCATGCTCAGGCATGTACATGTATGAGATGGGCGGTCGTTGCTCCTGTAGTTGTTATTTATTATATCATCTTTCTTCTACCCATCGCCACTATGCAGGACGCAAATGATGGCCCGGCGGAGACCGTGCTCGAGCGGCTGATTGGAATTGGAGCCAGCGGGCAAGGTAGCTACGGAGACACGAGCTTTGTGCCTGCAATCTTGAAGGAGATTTTGCAGGGCAAGTTCGGAATGATTCCGCCGGAAGTGCTTAATGCGTCCCGGGTGGTGGAAAATAAGCAGAAGCAAGTAAATAAGTCTAGTAGTTTTTTTTCTAGTATGGCTTCTTCTAGGTTCTTTCAGAACTTCCTGGCAGGGGATGCCGTTCTCTATTTGTCGGAGGCTCTCTCCCCTGGCGGGGGCTTGTTTGGGAATGGCCCCGAGGCCACAATCTCGTCCGCGCCCGTGAGGAGTCCGCTTCAAGCCGCGCTGCAAAACGGAGTAGAGGCGTGGGTCTGTTTGTGCCTGCTCGACTGCCCCGGCCTCGTCCTGTTCGACGAGTTCGCGGCCTCACAGGGTCTCTCCGCCGCGGACAGCGATAAGATGCGATTGGAAAAAATGTACAACCTAGTCCCGGGAGCGCGTGAAAGAGAAGCGGTTCCGGACGGTGTCAACACGATCCCGGCACCAATATATTTGCAGATGGCGCTGCTGAAACAAGTAGAAAGTGGGTTAAGGCTTCCGGGAATCCATCTTCAGAAGCATCTTGGCGGACCTCTCTAAAGGGAGAACAGACACACCATGACTCTCATGATGGATTCCTGGGGGGATCTAAGTAAGGTAGGAAACAAGAATGGCACAGGAAAGAGCCAGTCCTCGGCGTCGGCGACTTCCCTAGATCCAGGACAAACAGAAGCGATCTGCATGCGGGTTCTAGACCGAATCGAGCAGCAAGAGCGCGCGATGGAGGAACTAAGGATGGAATTGCCTGGGGCCATAAAGCTGGCGAAGCAGCAAGGACATGCGGCAGTGGCCGACCGCTTAGCGAAATTGTGAGCCGGAGCTACTCCTGATGCCTTTCATTCTTTGTGGAGCAAAACATAGACCAACAGCGCAGTTGGCTTCTTGGATTAAGCTACTCCTGATCTGC